TTGCCAATAGGCACACAACTCTCATTTTAATGGAAATATTATTTTAAAGTCCCATACCCATAAGCCTTGCGGAGCCAGGCTCTGCCCACCCAAACTCTACACTGTAGGTCCCAGAGCTCCCCAGTGGAGCCCAGCTACCCATGGTGACAAGCAAGCCAGATATAAATGGGACGAGAGTGCATCCCAAGCACATGTGGGAGGAAAGATCTGTGTGACCCAGGAGCCCTCCGAGGTACAGGATGTATCTGCTTTACCATCCAGGGGTGTGCAGTCATGTGGGGTATTTGCCCCTGGACAGAAAACCCTGGGTGGGCCCAAATGTGTTCTGCAAGAACCTTTCCAGATGATTTGTGTCAAAAATTAGAATTTCTGAGCTAAGCCTCTATGTGAGACATAGTTTTAGTAGCCGCTCTTTAACGACATTTTTTTTTAATGTATTTTATTGATTTTACACAGAGAGAAATTGAGAGGGACAGAGAGTTAGAAACGTCGATGAGAGAGAAACATCGACCAGCTGCTTCTTGCACCACCACCCCACCCCACTGGGGATGTGCCCGCAACCAAGGTACATGCCCTTGACCGGAGTCGAACCCGGGACCCTTCAGTCCACAGGCCGACGCTCTATCCGCTGAGCCAAACCGGTCCTGGCTTTAACGACACTTTTGAAAATGATCTCCTCCAAGACAGCAGGCAATCGGAACACAGTGTCAGGGGCCGGGTTACAAAGCCACCTGGTTATTTGGAACATGGTGCTGAGTTGCAGTGGAACCACAGCCAGTTTGGTACTTGATTGCCAGATAGTCCACAGGTGCCACGAGCTGAACAATACATCTCTTATTAAATCTCTTATCATCCTGACTTAACAGCATCAGCCTTCAGGTGAGCCTGCTCCCTCTGAAGGTTTTAAAGATACCAAGAAAGTCCCAGGAAACATTTTTTTCCCCAAATGAACCTTCTCACAGAATTGGGATGAGTTTTTTTCACCAATCTCACTCCTGAATTTTTAATCACTTGTCTTTCTCTCCCACCAGCTCAGTCATTTCATCCGTGGTGGGAAGGAGACCCATGGAAACGCCAAGTCTCCTCTCCAGCAGGATCCAGGAAGGCACCTTTCTGGGTCAGCAAATGTGTGGCCAACAGTGTCATCACAGACACTACAGGTGCTGGCCAGGCTCATACATCAAACCTGCATGTGACCGTGTGCCAGCCTGAGAGGAGGGGAGTGAACACAGTTGCTGTCTCAGGAAAGCTGTCCTCAGCCCACAAGAAATTCAACACAACATGATTATACAGAGCGACAAATGCTGGGGCGCAAAGTGCATAGAACACGGGTGCAGGCCAGCCAGGTGCTGGGAGGGGAGGTCTGCAAAGGCATTCGCTCGTGGGAGTGGATTCCACTGAAAGCCCCATCACAGGACCGCGTGCAAAACGCAAAGTCTTGGGCAATGAAGACATGAAAGGACGTGTGGTTTCTCCAAGTCACTGCAATGAGCAGCAGCTATCATCCTGTCAGAGTGACGTAAGTTTATGGAACTCTAGACAATGGGAAGGGAAAAGACAGTGAAACAGGCGCAGAGAAAGATTCAGGCAGAGGGGAGAAACAGACAGAGGCCAGCACACACACAGGAAGAAAGAGGCAGAGCCGGAAATGAAGTCAGACAGAGGCAGGCCAAGAAAGAAAAGCAGAGAGAGGGGTAGGTAGCGAGAGAGGACTAGAAAGAGAAAAGCACACAGAGGCAATAGAAGAAACTAAAATGCAGATAACACACAGAGAGAAACAGAGCAAGAAGGAGAACAGGGCACAATGGAGAAACCCAGAAACACCTGGCCTTTGAGAGGCAACGTACAAGAAGCCCCAAGTGCCCGGGGTGCAGTGCTGCAACATGACTAAGACCCAGGCCAGCTGGGGCATGAGGAGGAGGCCAGTTGAACCCCAACTGAAGGTAGCCTGTCATCTCCAGTGGAAGGAGGGCATGCTCACTGCACCCCACAGCCACAAAATGTCACCTCCTCTCTTCCAAGCCCTGCGGATCCCATACTAGGCAGGCTCCTGAGACAAAGCAGGCTTCCATGACCTCCTTGCCAGCCGGTGCATGGGGAACTGACATGATACGCAACACAGCCTGACCATTCCCACATGCACACTGCGGAGAGCATCTTAGGAATGATGCTCCTTGGGGAAATAATTGTGGGGAATGACACATACAACGTATGCTGTATCTACCCCTTCAGAGAGCCATGAGGCACTCTCAGGGGGAAGTCCCACAGCAGAGAAACCTATTCAACACCATTCAATTCAGAATGTTCAATCTTGTTCCATGAGGGATCTGAATCTTTAAAACCACCCAGAGTGTCGTGCCTAGAGCAAAATAGACACTAAGTTTTCCTTGAAATTGAAAGAGAGAGCGAGAGCGAGAGCGAGAGCGAGAGCGAGAGCGAGAGAGGAGAGTAAGCATCATGGTGTTAAAGCATTCTGGTGCCACCAGGAGGCTCCATGCCTTGGGGTAGGCAAGTTATGCCTTGAAATCAACTTGCACCTCAGTTTGCTCAGCTGAAAAATGAATCTAGTAACTAACACAGGGTTATTCTGAGGAGGAGAGGATAAAAATGCATCCAAGCCCAAGCACACGGTAAGTGGCTAACAAAGGTGGTTCCCTCCCCAAACAAGCATGGGAGGGGAGAAGGGAGAGCAGTGACTGATGGGCTGATGCTTTGAGTCAGGGCAGTAATCACAGAAACCTCAGATCAGACCACATCTGGCCATCTCTTCACTTAAGTGGAGTGAGCCACTTGAAGGTAGTGGGAACAGAGACTCATCAAAGAAAACAGGAATTCACTGCAATTATATTTTGCTCCCCCCCATGAGAACAACCTCCATTTAGTGAATTGTTTAGTTTTCCACTCTCCCTATGCTGTGACCTTAATTGACTTCTATGTCTTACAGGTTCTATTACCCTGTCTCCATTTATTATGCAAAATAGGAGCTCTTGTCCCAGAGAATTTTCAGGGCTGTAATCAAATCTTGTTAAAAAGGTAAAAACAAAACAAAACAAAAAAAAACTTTACACTCATTCACATCTTATAGGGGGCGGGAGGGAGGGAGAAAATAATGAGGCGAGAGTTCTAAAAATATATTCAGACAAAGAAAAGGAAAAATTCAATCCTAAGTCCCAAACTCCTTGAAAATAAGTTCTTTAGCTTAAAAGTCTATGAGAAGGAACTTTCCCTCTGCCCATCTTTAAGAAAGACTATTATGTGGTCCACACCATCCTTTTCTGCTCTATGAGATAAAGTTCCACTTAGCAAACATTAAATGAGCACCCACACAGTGCTAGGCACTGGGGATTCACAGATGAAAGCAGGGTGGGGCTGATCCATGGCCACCACAGAGTTGTTTTATTGGCAGCATCTCAACAAGCTGCCCAATGAGGCTGCTGCCATGTGACTCCCCATTGACCAAAGAGGAAACTGGGGTTTCCAAATAAAGAGACACAGCTCTGCCCTTGAGGCGCTCAAACACTGTCATTCTGGGAGGGAGTCTAATCCAGAGTCTGCAGAGAGCCAGGCCAAGTGGAAACAGAGGGAGGAGAGGCTGAGACTCCCAGGACAAGTGCCTCTCACAATTACAAGGAAGATAGGCTCCAGGTCTGTAACGGAACTTGAAATTTCCTCCTTCCTTTTGCCCCAGCTGTCTGATGGGGAAGATGAGCAGAGTGGGCCTGAGGGCAAGTTGTGCTCTAAACTCTGAGTACACCAGCCAACGTGATATTTGAGGGAATAAAGGAATTATTGGTAATGTAGGAAAAACAGTGATATCATGGTTATATTTGTGTGTGTGTGTGTGTGTGTGTGTGTGTGTGTGTGTGTGTGTGTGTGTAGGGGGGGGGAGGAGAGGAAAAGGGAGGAAGAGAGAGTCTATAGATGAAATATCCAGTATTTGATTCAAAATAATACAGAAAGGGGAAGCAGGCATGGGTAGCTTCAAAAAGACTGGCCAGATTAATAATAATTCAACTTATTATAAATGAGTACATACAATGGATATGTAAAAGGCATTATACCAATCTCCTACCTCTGGGCATTTAACATTTGACATAACAAAAAGTTTCCAGATGAAAAACTATTATAAATGGGTTTGAAAGGACAAAATGCTCTCAACAGCATGGTTTGTAATAGCTAAGTACTGGCAAGAATCTCAATGTCAGTGGACATGAGACTGGATTAAAAATAATGTGGTATTTCATTCAGCAGAGAACTAGAGTCAAGAAAGTGAATGAACCCGATCAGGAGTTCTCAACGAGGGTGACTCTGCCCCCCAGGGGACAGCTGGCCATGTCTGGAGACATCTTTGGTTGCCATGTCGGGATGGGGTGCTACTGGCCTCTAGTGGGTAGGGATCAGGGATACAGCTAAACATCCCACAATACACAGAACACCCCTCCCCTCACCCCCTCCAAAAAAGCATACGGCCCAAACTATCCAGAGAGGCACAGTTTAAAATCTCTATATCAGATCTATATACTCCTCAGACCATAGTACTGAATAAAAAACAAACAAAAACAAGGGGCAAAAAGAGATATGTACAAGTAATAGCATGTAGGTAAAAGTTACACAAAACCAAGACTATTTATTGCTCATGGGAATTTATCTATGTAGTAAAGTATAAAAATATGGAAGGAAAGGCTATATGTCAGCCTCAGATCATTGACATCAAGGGCAGGGGCATGATATACTGCAAAGGGGCTTCAACAGAATTTGTAGCATTTATTTTATTTACTTTATCTTACCTAAAAAAAGAAAAGCAAGTGTTAAAGGTTAATGTACAGAAAAGCTGGATGTTGGGCACATGAGTGCTCACTCTTTAGTCTCTTTCCCTTCACGCTGCTAACAATGAACAGACTAAGCAGCGGGGCTGTGGACAGGAAGGGCTGGAGGTCAGACAGAGATGGAGACAGAGATGGGGCAGAGTGGCGTGGCTGGGCCATCTTGAGGTCACTCACCGGCCCCCGGAGGTCGATGAGCTCCTGCCTCATCTGGGACACGAGGGCTTCCTTGGCCACCAGGGCCCGGTGCAGGCGCTCGTTGAACTCGATCAGCTCTCCGTGCATCTCCGCCACCTGGAACACACAAGACCAGACGGTGAGGCTCCGAGGGCAGGGCCTCCCCAGGAATCCCACAGCTCCTCTGGGCCCACACATGTCAGCAAGGCATCAGGAGGTCTTTGGGCTGGAGAGTAACAGTGGTCACCTGTGGGCTACACCAGTGGTTGGCAAACTCATTAGTCAACAGAGCAGCAAACTCACAGTTTGTCGACCATGGGCTACATGATCCAACTGTGCGTGAACACATTTATTTACTTGGTTGATTTAAACACCATGGAATTGACAGTCTACAATTTATGGTCAGAACACTGTTGTATCAAGTCATTTTTTGCACCTAAGGCTTTTATTATTAACTAGAGGTTCAGTGCATGAAATTTGTTCACAGGGGGTGTGTCCCTCAGCCCAACCTGCACCCCCTTTCCAATTTGGGACACTTTGAGGGATGCCCAACTGCCCGAGTTTAGGCCCGATCCCAGTGGCATCCCTCTCACAATCCAGGACTGCTGGCTTCCAACCACTCGCCTGCCTGCCTGCCTGCCTGTCTGCCTGCCTGCCTGCCTGATTGCCCCTAGCTGCTTCTGCCTGCCAGCCTAATCATACCCTAACTGCTCCTCTGCCAGCCTCATTGCCCCTAATTGTCCTCCCCTGCTGGCCTGGCCTCCCCAAATTTTCCTTCCTTGCCAGCCTGGTCACCCCTAACTGTCCTCCTCTGCAGACCTGCCCCGCCCCCAACTGCCCTCCCTTACAGGCCTGGTCCCTCCCAATTGCCCTCCCTTTCTGGTCTGATTGCCCACAACTGCTTTCGCCTGCTAGCCATCTTGTGGTGGCCATCTTGTGTCCACATGGGGGCAGCCATCTTATGTATTGGACTGATGGTCAATTTGCATATTACTCTTTTATTAGATAGTATGAACACTTTTCTAGCCAAGGTTTTCTTTCTAATCTGATTTATGTCCCACTAGTGGCACAATTAGAATAACTGACCATTGGGGTCTGGGTTCTGAAAACCAAGAAAACAGAACCAGAGCCTTATTGAGATGGTGCAGGCGAGGGAGAGGTGTAGGTGCAGGTGCAGGTGACAGACACAATGTGGCAGCTCAGCTACCCTTTGGTCACTGCTTTTCCTAAGCCAGGAAATTGCATGCTATGCACTGCATGTTCTTCCTCACACCAGCTCTGCAGGGCGGGGATTGCTATTCCCACCTTAGGAAGAGAAATGTGTTGAGTTTAAGGCACTGGGCCAAGGTCAGATAGCTAATAAAGGGCTGACTCTGGAGCCTGGGCTCCTGACCACTGGGCGACTTGCCACATCCTGCCATTCACTATGCCCAGAGGTAACCCAACCAGGTCTGCTGTGAACACTCAAATTTTTCCACATTCATGCAATACTTTTAGCTGATCCCAAATGTTTTTAAAATGGGGGCAGCCATAAGATAACCTATGATTGATGTACAAAATGAACAACAGATAAACTGTGCACCTATGGATGAAGACAATGGGGAGTGGGGAAAGGGCAGAGGGTGGGGTGGGAACCTAATGGAGGAGAGCAATGGTGGAGGGGAAAAAAAGGAACATTTGTAATAATATGAACAATAAAAACTTATTTAAAAAAATAAAATAAAAATAAAAATAAAAATAAAATGCAAAATGAACAACAGATCTTTCCAGCAGGACTTACAAAAAGCACAAAGATATCCTACATGGTCAAGGCACTTACAATAGATACTCTAAATAATGCATACTAGTAAATATCAAACCATTTGCAACAAGTACTTTATATAACATAGAAAATGTAATATCAGACTTAAGAAGGAATTTTAGAATAAGCTCTTTAAAATAAAGGCTTGCTGCCTGACTGGCATAGCTCAAGGGTGGACCTATGAAACAGGAAGTCATGGTTCCATTCCCGATTACAGAACATGCCAGGTTGCAGGCACAATTGCCTATAGGGAGCGTACAGGAGGCAGCTGATCAATGATTCTCTCTCATCACTGAAATTCCTCTCTCTCTCTCTCTTTCTCTCTGAAATCAATAAAAATGTATTTTTTTAAAAAAGGGATTGTTAACCTGAGTCTTAATGCCTCAGGAGGAATAAAGGGAGCCCTCCTTTTTTTTTTTTTTTTTTTTTTTGGATAGGTTGATATATAAAGGATAAAAGGCAAAAAAGGAAACATCAGAATATTAACATTCGTCAAAGTGCATTCTTTCTACTCCTCCTTACTTTTTAGTTTGCTAATAATGTTCACTCTTTCATTAATCAGCCAGAATTACCCTTTAGACTCTTAGAAAGAATTAAAACTCTTCACATGGAACCAAAGGGAGCCACCGTGCAACCAGCGTGAAATGTGTGAGGCTCCGGCTGTAATCCTGGGGCGGCCACACTTGCTCTGGGAGCCCCACTCTGGGAAGGCACCCGCTGCCCCTCAGGCGCCCCCTATCAACTCCCTGTGAAATGCACAAAAGGCACTGCAAGACTGTGCGATGAGCAAGGGAGAGCAAGCTGCTGAGCCTGCACACAGCCTTCTTCACTGTACAGACCTAACGTTAATATTCTCCGCTGCCTTCTTTTTCTGTATAAAAGCAGCTGAACAAGACCTGTTTGGGCTTTTCACAAATAAATATAGTATCACTAACAATGCCTGTGTGGTTCTCCACGCGGTAACCACATAACCCTCCTCGGGCTGATCATCCGGTTATCTCCCTGTTAGCAAGAAACACACGACTGGCGTTATTAATGCTGACTACCTGCTACTATGCCCCCCCAAATTCAAGCTTTAAATAAATGTCACTCTCACTTCCAATGCAAAGCAGGCTTCTGCTTTGTTTTTACTTTGCTTTTCAGTGGGAGCTAGTGTGTTAAAACAATTTCCCCTAAATGCATAAAACATAGAACATCTCAGCCTCCCGTGGTGTTTATGGTGAACTGTCAAAACCCTGCTTCTCGTTTGCAGGTGGGAAAGTGGGTTGACCACGTCAGGGAGGGCTTTCATGCCGCTAGGGAATGGGGTGGACCGATAGCACTGCAGACACAAAGATGAAATCATTTCCAGCAGCCATTGCCTGCAGTGCTCGTTGTTACTAAGCTCAGCTCTGAGATTCTGAATTTTCATACCACATATCCCTACATATAGCCATTGACATAAACAGCTTTCATCTTAGAAAACTGTACTGAACTTCACTGTCCTCAAATAACGCTTAACAAATTCTGAAATAACTAGAAATGAGTTCAAAACTCAGAGTGAGCCTTGGAAGAGGAATCTGAAATCACAAATAGCTCCTATTGTCACAAAAATAAAAACAGGCTACACCACTACTGCTGGCTGTAATTTCTACTCTGAGGGCAAGTACAGGTGTCATCTGACCTCATTCCTTATTTTCAACAGCTACAGAGAATCACAGGGAACAGACAGAGGCAATAGGTGCCCTCAGATTCATTCTCTGCCAAGCAGGCAGAGCGATCTTCCCAAACAAGGTCGGATACTGTCACCTGCTGTTTAAAACCTTCAGTGCTTCCCACTCTCCTAAGGCCATAAGAGGCCTGCAAGATATGCACCATCCTCTCTGACCTTCCCTCTGCCCCCTCCCTCTATCTCACTGACTTCCACTCCGTCTCCTATCTTCCATATCCACACTGAGCAGCAGATCACCCAGGAGATAGAGGAGAAAGGCGCACCCAGCACAGGAAAGATCGGGTGCCCAGGCTTTGAGGCTGATAGGGAGGTAGTTGACAGAGGCGGTTAAGGACTCAGACTCTGGTGCAAGACAAGGCTGTGCTTGATCACAGCACCATGTGCCTGGTACCAGTCACTAACCTCCGAGCCCATGCTATTCACTATAAAACCATCCCAACTCCCTAGGCCACTGTGTGGCGGAAATGGCTACTAGCAGGCCTAGCACCATGTCTGGGCCTGGCTAATGCCCGTGAACGAGAGTTGGTTTGCACGCTGGGTGATCACATAAAGGGAAATGGAGAAGGACAGCAGGGCTCCCGGAGCCAGAGGGACAGGACCATATGTGCTGGGGCAGCTCTGCAGACTCACTGTCCCCAAAGTGCAAATGCCACCAACAGGACTGTGAGCCATATGCCAGGCGTTGCTCTTGGTGCTGGGGAAGTAAGTCACAGTTTCACATCCTGAAGGTCATATCAGGTAAAGCTCAGGGAGAGAAGGAAGACGGGGGTCGGGAAGGCCTCCCTGGAAGAAACACTGAGCAGCCACTGCTCCAGTCGGCCTTGGCACATGCCAGGCAGCCTCCCTGGCCACTCTGCACCCTAACTCAGTTAGGCACTCACTGTGCTCCACACCACCGATGCTCAGGGCCATTTTGAGAGTCTGCCATATTTCTTCCTACTCTCAGCACTTTTATTCCCTTGAAAACTAATCTGAAAGCAGTTAGGCAGAGGTGCCACTTGGCAACACCAGTGGCAATGACAAATCAAAAGCAAATACCAAGGGGAGATATACTAATCTCCGCTGATTCAAATCCCGACCGGCATGTGCCAAAAGGCTAAGCATGGAGCCCTGATTCTCCGAACGGCCCATGGAGACCACCTGGCTGGCAGAAGGCATGCTCCCGAGTTGTGCTTGGCAAGTGCACACCCCATAATTAATACAGTGTAAATGCTTACCACTCACCACCTGCATTTCATGCTTTAGGTTGGTGAGAAGATGGTAAAAAAAATTTAAGAAGTTTAAGTCACAGGGCTGTTTAGCAACATCTATCAAACTTTTAAAATCCCTCATCTGCTGGGCAGTTATCCTGACCCTGTATTTATACACATGCTCAGAGCAGGATTTAGTTCCAAATGCTGGAACCTACCCAAATGCCCAGCCACTGGAGAGGGATGAAATAGATGAGGTTCAGCTCCCTTGTCCAAAGTCTGGCCCAGGCAGACATCACTAGTCAACCGCAGCACTCGTTCCTCAGGAAGACGCCCAGGTAGCCCCCGTGTGCTGGCTCAGATGACAACACCATTTGGTGTCCCTGGCATAAGGGATGGAGGGAAGGCGTCATCA